CATCAAGGTGGAGCAGAGTGGACGCCTCGCCCTGCACTTGCACGGCATGGTGCACCTGGCAGCGATACCGTGGACAAAATGCGGGCCCTGTTTGAGGGGCCCAACTGCCGCACTCTGGCGCTGGCACACGCCCTCTGCAGCATGTGGCTGCCTGAGCCGTACTACGACATTCAGGACAAAGAGTGACGAGTCTTCTGGCAGACACCCCTGGTCATGGCTGCACCCACCACACCAACGGCAGTTGCACCAACGCCCATGGAAACATCAACGGCAGCAACGAATTCTGGTGATGACAGCATGACAGATGCTACTGCAGAAGAGGATGACGGCCTGACTCAAGCAGAACCTGGCAGCGCCTCGGGCACAGATGAAGACATTGGCAATGGTGACAATGGAGTCCAGCCAGCCCCCCCCGCAGCGTCCGCTGGCCGCCCCCCAGCCATCCACGCGCCTCAGCCAGATGGATCCATGCCGGCACCCGCGTATGACTTTGCCATTGTCGCCCGTGGCAAGCCGTGTGGGACCGGGGGTGAAGCCACTGATACCTTTACACCCAAAGTGTGCTTGGAACGCTGCACCCAGCACCTTGTGGCGGGTGTCGTGGGGTCCTGCACCCACAAACACACCGACACCTGCAAACGCTTCGGCTGTGCAGGCGTGGATGGAGACTGCGGCATGGCCTACCCACGCCACATCCGGTGTGAGTTCAAGTGGGTGGGCGACAGCGGCCTGTTCGTTCTGCCCCGATATGGCCCCAACATTGTGCCCCATTGCCCCGCTGTCACAATGGTGCTGGGCTGCAACAACATCTTCACGCTGGCCTGCGAGCTCGACCGTCAGTACATCGCAACAGTGGAGGAACAGCTTGTACTGCCGGTCCCCATGTGTGACCCCGAGGTCCTGGAGGACATCCTTGTGCAAGCAGAGGTTGTGGCCCACCGAACCACGCACTATGCCACCAAGTATGTCGCCAAGGCCACGTCGCAGAGCCAAGTCACATGGCTGAACCGCACGATCATGATCAGCCGCCACTTCCTTGACACTGCAGCTGCTGGTGGTGGAGACCCCGCAGCCGCCCACGAGGACCGATGCAAGGGCATCGGAAACCTTATCTCCGCGGCGAACCGTACGACAGCCAGCCTGACCATCGGAATGGCCATGGCGTCCTTCAAGTTGGCAGGACACGATCGTGCCGAACGTTTCACGAAACGTTCGAGACCACGTATGAGAACACATTCCTGAGCACAGGCCTGTTCATGGCCATTGTGCTCCGGGATGACCATGACAACATCAACAGCTTGGAAGCAGCAGCTGATACCCTACTGGTTCTTCACAATGACAATCCGGAGCAGCCGGGTGCTGCTGTGACGGCTCTGACTCACTACCGCCAACGTGGCTCAGAACTGGATGGAATCGAGTGCAGCCCGTTCATTCACCCCACTCGCCGACACCACGCCGGACGACATCACCTCCGCCTGCGAAGCCGTCAATGCGGCTTTCACGGCAGATCTGCATGTAAAGCTGCAGGGCACGGATCTGACCATTGCGAGCCTTGAGAACGTCCGCAAGATCGTTACCACGCGCTGAGACTGCGAACCTAGAAATGTTTATGTTCTTTCACATCTGCGAATCAATTTGATGCTCAGGCTTCGAATTAAAGTTATCGCATGCCTGCTGTTGTGTGATTGTGCAACTTCTTACATGGCAGCCTGCGGTGAGGAACTGCCTCTCTTGCTGTTATGGGTCGTTGCTGTTGGATGCCGGATGTGAACCTCGAGAATGCCTTCTGCTACGACACTGCTGGCTGTGGCTTGCTACTAAGCCACCCTCCGTCACAGATGTAATGTAACTGAGTCCACGCCACTGCTTCCCCACATTAATACCGTTCTCACCTATGCACCACACAGCACCTTACACACCACACACCCACAGCTGCCCTGGGAGTCGAAGCTACGGTCCCCTTCGCGGCGCAGCGCGGTCTCATGCGTGCGTTTTCATGTGTGTGTATGTACGGCTTGCGTTGTTGTGGTATGTTTGTGTCGTACAACGATGGCATGTTTGGGAGTTTGGTCTAGTGGTATGATTCTCGCTTAGGGTGCGAGAGGACGTGGGTTCAATTCCCGCAACTCCCCGGCACACGCGCACGACCGCTTCCTCTTCAGCAACGAAACGAAGGGTCTCTAGCTCAGTGGTAGAGCAGCTGACTGCAGATCAGCAGGTCTCCGGTTCGATCCCGGAGGGGCCCTGGTATTGACCCTCCTTGACTCAAGAGTGTCTGTCAGAAGCGTGCAGAAATCCTCTTGCAGCGAAGCAGAAGTAGATTTTTCACCCCAACCTGATGTATCATGCGCAGACCGCAGGGGCGGTTTCTATCACCCCTATCGATAGCCTGTATGTGGTATGGGCACTGCACTGTGCAACCATGTCATGAGGACCTTACCAACAATCAGCATGCTTGTACACACTTTGCATATGCATTCCTACCCGCATGCACATAGCATGCATGCTGTGTACGTGTGGTTACATCTAATAATATAATAAGTAGGTTGAGCAGTTACATAGGTGAGGCTGGTCAATGGTGATCACCTACCATTCATGGAAGGCATTCATGCATTCTCAGACCAGATCCACTGTTACTTTATCCTGGTGCATCCACTTGTTATCATAGGGTGTGGTGACGCACGGCTACCTGCCTTCAGGCTCCTTTCCACAGCTTTAGTCAACTTTCAAGTCAAAACGGATCAGATATGTCAGTACGGCCGGTCTTTCAGTGCATGATGATCGACATGGAAGACATTTCGCTCGTATGGGTCTTGATTGTCAAATCGATTCTATGTTGGATATGGCGGATGTTAAATGGTATTGGTTCTTGTCTCATCACATATAATTGAGCCAATAACCATTATCATGCGTTATGGACAAACCAAGGGACCGACCGACTGACTGACTCAGGGCAAAAAGAGGCCAGATGCGGGACTTAGCGATGGGTTGCACTGAAACACAATGTGTGAGTAGGTGTTGTGTATCTAAAATGTACGCACCTACCCATACATAGATGGGATACCCATGTATGTGTGCCTAGTAGAGCTATATATCTGAACATTTTACGATTTGTGAGCGCCTATATAGCTTAGTGGTAGAGCGTTCCCTTCGTAAGGGAAAGGACTTGAGTTCAATCCTCAATGTGGGCATTTTATGTGTTGCTGGGATGTTTGTATGGCTGCAATCGCAGTCTTCTACTGAAGCACATGTACATGTCTTTACG